GACCATTACTGTATAAATTTGCTTCTATTAAAATGAACATTTAAGCAATAGGTTTGGGATATTGGAGAGCAATGGGTGGTCTCCTAGAAGTCACTTCACAATTTGAGCATTGGCTAAATTTATCATGGAGTCAATCATTACTCTGCTCTTTCAAATAGTTAAATCTGAAGACAATAAGCCCTATCCCCTACGGCAGCGGTCCTTAATCTTTCTGGCAGCAGGAACCGGTGCTCCTATGAGAATCTAATGTCTGTTGGTCTGAGGTGGAGCTGAGGTGGTGATGCTAGCCCTGGGGAGTGGTTGCAAATACAGATGAAGCTTTATTCACTGGCCTGCTGCTCAGCAGCCTGGTTCCTAACAGGTCACAGACTGTACTGGTTCGCGGCCCGGGGTTTGGGGACCCCTACCTTATGGTGTTCAGATAAAGTAAGCATTCCTATTGTAGAATTGATGCTTCTTTGATTTGTTACCCTGGTTGAGCTAAGCTTACTTATTAATAACTAAGTAATGGAAAATCTACAATTTTGTATTTATTACTTAACCAACTTTACAGAAAATTTACCTCTTAATCCCTTCATGTAAGCATATCTAGTTCTATTTAAAATCATTTCCTTTGTCAGTATTTTCACATAACCATTCACTTAGCAATTTTTATGCTATTTCTTCCAACTTACTTTTATTTTTCATGTACTTATTCTTAGATTGACCATTTTTGGTGGCTCTTTCAATATTCCAGTGAACTCATATATCATAAAATACTTAACCACGTCCCCAAAACTGGGCAATTAGATTATAATGCTATAATAAATAGTGAGTGCTTTAAAAATATTTTCAAAAATATAATCATTATTTCAAACTATTTCCTTAAGAATAATTCCAATGATTAAATTATCTAGTCAAAGAAAATCAACAAATTTTAACTCACCAAGTTCTGAACAAAACTGTTTGGCTTCTGAGAAGCTATGCAATGCCTGGTCAGACATGTAACAGTGGTCCTTGTACTGGGTCCACTGTGATTCATTCCCCTTTATTGCTGGACATCTCGATGAGTATGTATGAGAGGACACTTCTTTAGCTGTAAAAATGTGAGACATAACTGTAAAAATGCACAGAAAAAAATGACTGATTTAAAAATCTCATTAAATGTCCCTAGTTGAAACTGTGGTTACTGTGGGTAAGAAACATTCAACTCAATGCGCAAACCAGAGAAAGCTACAGCCCATACTCTTAATTAGCTTTTTGGAATATTATATTATATTACATTACATTATGTTATATTTATTAAATGAAATACCATTTTTAAAACTTAGAAGACAGAGAAAAGTACTTAGCTCTCTCAGACGGATTTAGCCTAAAGTAAAAACTATCGGAAAGGCAGAATAGGAAAAGCAGCAAAGACAGGCTAGGCAAGCCTGTTAACTACTTTGAAATAATAATTAAAATTTTTTCTTTCTTTGGATTTCTTTTTATTTTGATAATATAAACCTAGTTTTACCTTGCTATATACAGAACTACTATTAAAAATCACAACCACAAGTGAAAATTTAGTAGTTTACAAATGGCAACATATCAGGAAAGCAAAATCTGTCTCAAAAAAAGAGAGGTGTGGATTCTCAGCTCTTAAAAGTTCCCCTGGTTTCCATTTAAAATGTTTAATTTTTAAGTGGACCGTATAACACAAGAAGCCTGTGTAACGTAGCCTGCACCTCTTAATACCCATTATTAATTCCAATTCGAAGTGAGCATGAGAACTAGAAAGTAAATCGTCAACATCCTATTTGTTTGGACTATCTGAATCAAATATCTGACCTGGTATGGTCAGTAATCTCAACCCGAACTATTGCTTTGTATACATTATGTATGGTCTGCACGTCTTTCAGTAACTGAAGGCTTTTTCTGCTTTTTTCTCCACGTCTCAATTTGGTATGGTTCTTATTTGTGGTCTCTGTGATTCCAGAAGAGTGGTTGCTGCCATTTCCTTCTTCATGAGGCTTTCTAATGGCTCTTAATTCCTTCTGCATCTCTGTCTTCTGTTCTTCCAGCTGGGCTTGATCTTCTTTGAACCTTACTTATTTAATTGGCTTTTGCTTCCATTCTTTCCACTACTGTCCTTAGTTTGAGCTCTAAGTCTTCCTTAGGTTCAAAAGTTGATAACTCCTAGGTAAGTTTTGCCCAGGAGTGGCTGATAATCAAAGCTCCTTTGTAAATTCATCTGTAAAGTCTTTTAAGACTTGTGACACCTCTTCATTAATGCTGCTGGTCGAGGGAGATGTTACTAGCAAGTTCTTGCTTTTACCACCTTGTGAACAGTTGTTTTCTGAAAAATATATGGTTGACAATTCCATTGCTCCACAAGGAAATAATATGTGTTGCTTCATTTCATTGGTTGCCAATGCATGCCTAGGACTGGCGGGCTTTTCTGAATGGCTTAGCTTAAAAAAAAAAAATTCTTATACTGAGAACATAGAAAAATATCTTATCTTTAAAGTCTATTTGTTTCTAGTCCAGTCTGCAACTAGGCTGTCTTAGGCTGCATATATTTTCTTTCTTTGCTGCTATTCATGGAGTTTTGCTTCGAACTCTTGCATTTTCTTTTCTGCCATGGCCAGCACTGTACTAAGTTTGTTATATTCCTGTTGAAGAAGACTCATTTCTTTTCATTGTGGTAAAATACACATAACAAAATTTATCATCATAACTTTTTAAATGCACAGTTCAACGGCATTAGGAACATTCATCTTGTTGGGCAATTATCACCACCATCTGTCTCCAGAACTTTTTCACCTTACAATACTGAAACTTTGTAACCATTAAATCAAATCTCCCCATTTCTCTCACCCCCTAGAAATCACCATTCTACTTTCTGTCTCTATAAATTTGACAACTCTATATACCTCATACAAGTGGAATCATACAGTATTTGTCCTTTGTGCCTAACTTATTTCATTTAGCATAACGTCATCAAGGTTCATACATATTGTAATATGTGTCAGAATTTCTTTCCTTTTTAAAGCTGAATAATATTCCATAGTATGTATATATCATTTTTCTTATCCATTCTTCTGTCAGTGGACACTTGGTTTGCTTCCACCTTTGGGCTCTTGTGAATGCTGCTGCTATGAACATAGTTGTACAACTATCTGTTTGAATCTTTGCTTTCACTTCTTTTAGGCATATACCCAGAAGAGGAATCAGATTATATGGTAATTCTGTTAAATTTTTTGAGGAATCACCAGATCATTTTCTACAGTGGTTATATACCATTTTACATTTCCACAAGCAATGTACAAAGGTTTCAATTTCTCTACATCCTCACTAACACTTGTTATTTTCTCTCTGTTTTTCTTTTAAAAGATCCAGTTTTTTTTTTTTAAGTTGGCTCTCGTTTTAGTTTCCCAGGGCTGCCAAAACAAATTACCACAAACTTGATGACTTAAAACAGCAGAAATTTATTCTCTTACTGTTCTAGAAGTCTGAAAATAAGGTGTCAGCAGGGTTGGTTCTTTCTGGAGGTTCAGAGGGAAGACCTGTTTCACCTCTTTCCTAGCTTCTGGTGGCTACTGAAAATCCTTGGCTTGTAGCTGCATCACTGCAATCTCTACCTCTGTCATCAAATGGCCTTCGTCTTCTGTGTGTCTGTGTCTCTCTCCTCTCATAAGGACATCACCCCTGGATTTAGGGCCCATCCCAGTCAAGTATGACCTCATCTTAACTAATTATGTCTGCAAAGACTATTTCTAAATAAAGTCACAGTCTGAGGTTCTGGGCAGACATAAACTTTGGGGGAACACTATTCAACCTAGTACTGAATTTTTGTTCAATTATGTTGTCATTCTCCTTCATTCTCGTTCATCCTATAAAGTCTGTTCCTCTAACTCATTTGACCTCTTCATTTTTGTATATTTTATCATATTTCTCATGTATTCCATTTTCTTTCTCAAAGATTACATTTATTCACTGTTCCTAACAACTGACATGGCAGTTCTTGATTGTGCTGTTATTTCTCATTCTTTATATCGTTCTCCCCACTTTCTTGAATTCACTTGTTTCTCATGATAAGATTTCAACATGTTCTACTGCCTGAATCCATTTAGTTCCAAATGTGGCATATTTTCTTGAGGATTCTTCAGGGCAGAAAACATGGCAAGCACCGAGAACCAGAAGCTTCAGAGACCATCACTGTCACCACCTCTTGGCCTGCCCAACATGCCTTTGCAGCTTCCGGCTGGTCCAGGTTCTTGTGCTCTTCCTCAAGGTTCATGCCGCACCACCAGGGACAGCCCCAAGTCCAGCCCCTGATGGAAGAGGCTCTTTCCTTAGATTTTCAGGATTATATAAGTTTGGAAAACATTTAGGTACACAAAGCTAAACAGCCTTCTTTACTACAGAAACTCTCAGAGCCATCACTATGGTAGGTCACCTGAGGCATTTCCCAAATTTATATGCTATGGAACACTTTTTTGAAATGAGCATCTCAGCCTTTAAGTGAAATTAAAATTCACAAATTCTAGAGTAAAACTTACCTAACGATAGAATAACTAAGACTTTAGGAAAAAATTCCCTGAATGGGCATATCGTATTTACTTCTCTTCACAAAGCATAAACATTATTTTTATGGGATTTATGAATAAACCTTATTCAAAATCTATAAAAATTCCTTTGAGCACTTAATCAAATGCATAAAACAAATGTCATTTTAGTAAATATAGAGTTATATGAAATCAAGTCTTACATTTTGTAGGTTTATAACAAATAGCACCATCTTTAACAGAGTTGCAATTTTCATGTTCCCAAATTCCTTTTGGAACCAAGAGAACACAATTTCCAGCAGATTTTTTTTCTTTCCATGGGATGTAGTCAAATGCACTGCCATCAGACCATTCAAAACTTGATTCACTTCCCTGTTTCGAGAATGATAGAGATAACCTGAATCTAGATGTATGACTTCAAAAGAACATAAAAAAAGAACATATATACTTTAAGAAATATTGGAATGGAGTGTTAATTTTTTGCTTACAAGTACTGGTCTGGACTTATTTGTAAAATCAGGAAGTTACTTTCGATGCATTGATTTGAAACATTTGAAATATTTGCTCTGGAACAATTTAAGTAGTATTTTACATCTAGAGACAGAATTACTATACTCTGCCTCTAGGTTTATTCTTTTTAAGAATGAGCTTATATAACACTTGAAATTAAATGACGTGCAAATGGCTTCCATTTGTCACAATTACAGATTTCAATCCCAACCTTGATATTATTCTAAATATTGTTTTTTATGTTTTATATTTTTGTAGTTTGTGTCTCTGGCTACATTTTTTTTTTCATGTTATAAAAGCTGTCAAGCAGCAGGGGGCAAGAAGAGAAAAATACTTCCCAAGAAACTCATGTGGGAAGATTATTTTTTATTTTTCCTTGATTTTAGAATCCTAATTTACCATCCTTTGTTAAATTTCCTCACTTTGTTCTAAAGATTATTTAAATTAGACTTTCGTTTGTAATCTCAATAGATGTCTATTTTTGGTACACTAGACATTATTATAGGTACACAAATATACTCATTAGTAGGATTCGAATAGTGGCACAAAAGATGTCCTTACTAGCAGATTATTCTTAAACAGTGCTAATTTCTAGGGGGAAAGTGGGAAGAAAATATACATTTATTAGTCCTAATGTTAAAAATTTTATTTGGCACCTTATATAAATTTTTATGTTAATCTTCAATATAATCCTATATTAAGGAAAATATTATCATTCCAATTTTATAGATGAGGAAATAAATTCACAAAAGTTAAATAATTGCTCACGATCACCCAACATGTAAATGGAAGACCCACCATTAGTCCTGGAATTGTTTTTTTCTCATTCCGTGCTATTCCCTTTTCGCCAGCTTTCCATTTGGTCTGTCCCCAACAGGTTACAGAATTGTTTAGATATTAATCTCCTGGGCACTCACAGTGTTTAAGGCAGCTGCAGTCTTAGCCATTTGCCGTACTGCACTCTACAAATATAATTTTCTATTTGTTCTTCGTTGTGAAGAGGTAAGAAAACATTATGCTACGCAAATAAAATCCCAGAACTTAATCTGATGTTATACTTTGTATTAATATTTTATGTTCATATTTCCAAATCTGTAACATATTAGGAAATTTTCTGGAAAACGAAACAATACTTACATCATGACTTGAGAGCCCAACCCATAGTGGAAATCCATCACGCTTTGCGATATCTTCCAGAAAGAGCTGGCCATTTTGGTCATGAACACTTGCCAGATGACCTCCACTTTGAGAACATATGTTTAATGCTTCATACCATGTTACTTTTTTTTGAATAACACTATAAATACCATCTTCATATGGAATAAACTGTGGCAGAGTAGTATTAAATTCTTCCTTGTAGTCGACTATAATATTAAATTAAGTGTTAGTGATTAAATTTAAATTATTCAAAATACACATTTTGGGTAAGACTGGTCATGTAGTCACTTTAAAAGTTGAATAAAACTGGATTTCTTATTTGGAAGGGCAGTCAAATTTATTTTTCTTTTTGCCATGGCACATATAACAGGCTCTAAAATATTACAGTTGTCTGTTTGATTAAAAAGAGGCATACATATCGTTTTTAATTTAAGGAGCTCACATATTAATTGGAGACAGAAAACGACACTTGAAATGAGGGCAAAACAATTATCCTCTAGAATATGTATGACTGACTGGAGAAGGAGAGATTCATAAATCAGGTATCCAGAGGTTAGGTTAGGTGAAATTAGGACTAAAAGGGAAAAAGGCAATCATAAAGTAAGCTCAAAACAAACAAACAAACAACAGCATTAACAAAACCACAACGATGAGGATATTTGAAAGGGACACAGGAGCCAAGTGAAAGAGCTCCCTATGGCCAAAGTTGGAACAAGGTGAGCAAAATATTAAATAAGATAGCATATTGAATTATCACCCAAATATAAAATAAATAACCATGAGCCCATACTGAATAAAATGGAGGAGAAGAGACAAACCTCTAGTGTAGTAGAATTCCAAATAATTTATTTAGATATTTTCCCCTTACACAAGTTAGGGATAACATCTCACTTCATAAGTGTGGACTGAGTACAGTGACTTCCTTACAAAGAATACGGTATGGAAAGAGGGGGACAAGAAGAACTTTGCAGTGGAGAAAGCTGAAAAATATTACCTAGAGCCAGATGATCAAGGTTAAAATCAACAGTGATGTCATGTTGGTAGAATATACCCTCATATGATGTGATGAAAATGATACTTTACCTCTGTGGTTTTCCCCTAAATACCAAACTCACAACCCCTATTTAATCATGAGGAAAAAAAACAGCCAACGAAAATTGAGGGACATGCTATAAAATATATGACCAGTGCTCCTCAAAACTGTCAAGGTCATCAAGAGCAAGAAAAGTCTGAGAAACTGTCATAGCCAAGACTAACCTAAGGAGACATGATGACTAAATATAATATGGTTTCCAGGATAGAATCCTGAACAGAAAAAGAACATTAAGTAAAAACCGAGAAAATCTGAATAATGTATAAACTTCAGTTAATAATAACCTATCAATATTGGTTTATTAGCTGTGACAAATGTACTATACTAATGTAAGTTGTCAACAGTAGGGGAAACTGGTTAGGGGATACATGGGAACTCTATGTACTATCTTTGCAAATTTCCATAAATCTAAAACTATTTTAAAATCAAAAGTTTATTAAAAATGTAAAAAAAAAAAAAAAAGAAAGAAAGAAGGTGAAAGACTTCTTGGCAGGTAAAAACGATAACGGTTAAAATGAGGACAGGCATACTCTGTACATTGGGATAACTGGGATAATTGAGAGATTAGCCTGATAGAAAAAGATCCTTACTGAGCCAAGAATAGGGAAAAAAATGGGGGCTGGAATAAAGCCTAGAATTTTAGAAGAGACAGTGGTTTCTACAAAGTCTCAAAAGATTATATGGACTCAAAGTAATTGATAATAGAAAATCCCTGGAGATTGTTGATGGAAATGATGCTTTAAGAAGTTATTCTGTAGCACTATGAAGGGAGAAGATCAACTTGAATGTATGTGACTATTATAGGCTCCATGTTAGCAGAGGGATTAGAACAGAGTGGCCATAAAATAATAGTTTTTAAGCTGTGAAAAAAATTTAAGCTGACATGCTTTTAAAAATAGATTTAAGGAATTAAGCAAGGTTGAGAGACATTCATTTTTAGCCTGGAATGTCAAAACTTTACCCAAACACACTTTCTTATTTATAAAAATCTTATCCATCCTTCAAAGCTCAACCAAATTTTACCTCTTCCACACAGTCTTTGTTTTCATTATTCCTGTTTTCATTGATCTCTTTTGACTTCTCAACAAATTTAAGCCTGTACCAAATAACCTAAGACTATTCTACATAAAACAACAATAAAGAAATCAGTGGTGTCTCCCCAACCACATTTTACTCCTAGAGAGAAAGACCATGACACCAGGAACTGTCTTTTCTTCCTTTGTAACCTCTGTAGCACTCTCATAGGGCTGAAGACAGAGAAGGCGCTCAAAAAATCCAATTGCAAGATTCCCACTAGTGGAGCTAATGACCGTATA